ACATCCTTATATTGTATGTGACTGATCCAATATGTTTAAGAAACTGTACAGATTAGTGCATATACTATAAATTGCAACACAAAGGACTACGTCAAGGCCAGTTGTGAAACAAGAAGCCGCTGAGGCCAGTAAAAATTAAAAGGGTGTGCAATCAAAACTGAGGCACGTTTAATACACAAGGGTTAGGAGGTCTGGAAACAACAGCCAAATTGTGGTGGAAGTAGACGTCTTTGGATCCTTGAAGAATGGCCTTCTCTCATTTGGAATCTTCCTTGAGTTAAGTGTGTGTTTAAGCTATTTTCCTCTCTCCAAGGTTCAGAGAGTTAAACTGTGTCCCTTAAACTAAGAAACCTTGGTGCAGAGCCTGTAATAGACTCCTTCGGGGACTTCAAATCTAAAAACCCCCCACTCTCAGCTGCTGAAACATTAGCTCTGAAGGCCCACGTGCTAGAAAGGTGTGTATTTAAACTGCCTGACCAGGCTGTCCATCACAGACAGCAGAATGTGGTCACCATGTGAAACCATCAGCCGTTGCCAGTCTGTTTAAAGCAGGGCCATGTGAGATGATGCTGAAGATCTCATTACCCTTCTGAATTTCTATTTTAAGGTCACCTCTGCATATTTGCCCCAGATATGCAGAGGCCAGGGACATGAACATTTCTGAGTTTCTCTGACTCTGACATGACAGCAGACAGCAGGACTACCTCCTCCAATTATAGAGGTGCAGCCTGACTGTCTTAGACATGTTCAGGCCTGAGAAACTCACATCTGCTCATGTTGAAGTGACAGAATTGGACATTGACAGAGAGAAGGGAGGGACAGAAGGACAGAATGGGACCCACCCCAGAGGCGTAGTCTCCAATGATGGCCACTCGTTGGAACTCAGGCACCTCCAGGTAGATTGGCACCTCCTCCACCACTGGCACCAGCGTGGTTGGAGACTTCTCGCTGAGCGGTGAGGGGACAGAGATGGTACGAGCTCGCTGCAGGCGTTTCTTCCTGTGGGGTTGGAGGGACAGACTCAGAATGGAATTCAATAGCAACCTCCACAAAGTGGCATTGCAGAGTGTATCCCGACAATCTAGACGTGTTCGGGGCAATGCTTGAACTTTGCAACAGGTAAGACGGCTACGTCTTCTAAGCCCGCCTCTGAAATCACTGTGCCAGGAAGCAACAGCCACCCTGGCACCATCACCTTACCGCTTCTCTGTGCTTTCTTGCTGCAGATGATCGGCCAACTCATGGTGGAAGATGGGACAGTCCTCTGCCACGTCAAAGACGGAGATCTCCTCCCTGACGTTCTCATCCTTCACCTCCGAGGCGAACACCTTCTCTGCGAATGCTCGTATGGAGTCATCCGTCTCTGCAACGCCACAATACACCTGCTCACAGGTGGCATCTTTCTCCACACAAAGTTCCACTGCTCAAATTCTTTGCCAACTCAAAAACATAACAGAAATGCTTCAGATTTATCTGAATTGTAGTGTTATGGGCAGTGTTTTATTGCTCCTTAAAAAAGCTGATTCTTTATTTTATTTTATATTTTTCTCTGGGACTGTCTCCACATGAAGGAGACAGGAAACTCTGGACCATCCTTCTTCTCCAGCTTTCTCCAGAAATGTTTGTTTTTTTTCCAACATGTTAGGAAAATCTTGTTTAGGTCTCAATGAAGCACTGCCTTTAAAAAATAGGTAGTCCTGCTTTTTAGATCTGTAAGATGATAGACCTGGTCCTTTGTTGAAGGTGGTGAACTTTACTGGATAGTTCCTGCTTCAAGTATAAAGTCAGATTCTCTACTCCTGGATTCATTCTGGGTGGAACCACATTGATCAGTGACCAGAACCAACAGAGGAGCACAAGGGTGGAATCTGACTTGGTTTTTATGTGAGGAATCTATGACAAGTTCCAAAAAACAAAGAGGATAATAACAGAACAATTTAGAAAAAGTCAGAGACGCTACTTCGAATCTGGTGAAGCTAAGCAGAGAGTGAAACTGAGGCCCTTCTTGGTACAGCTGAATTAACTTTGTTATATTGTCCTCTTCTGGGTCTGACCTTCTTTATTTTACATCAACATTCCACAAGGGAAAAATATGCCTGCATTTAAGACTGAGAAAACAAGACTCTTTTTCTGTTGTGGAAAACACAGACAAGCACAGACCTTGCTGATCCTTTGCCTTCTTTCAAGAATCCTCTGGTTTGATCTTTACATCACTTAGCTACTAGCAGCCTAACCTCAGAGCCTGACATTCTGAGAACCAGTCACTAACCAGTCAATAAGATACAGAAACAACACTGTATTTTCATAAGCTAATGAGAAAATCATAACTGTAACTTTAAATCTTTGCCGATACATGTAAGAAAGATTTAAAAAGAGTGTTGCCAAACTGCTTAGCTAATTAATTCCAGAGGCATACACAGCCCCATAGAGACATGTCTCATTCATAGAGACATCCCATTATTTAAACCGAGCCGCAGGTCTACAACACCCTTCAACAGTGGACATTTACAGTCCATGTGTAAGTCATGTCAGAATCATGCAGAAACTAATGGGCACCCATCCAGTGACCCATCAGCATACAGAAACACACATAATGAATGATGTGTGTAAAGAAACAGGTTTAAAAACCTCTGTGCAGTTTATAAGTGAGATCAAGCTCCAGATGATACACATGTGGAGGACTGAAACGTATACACTGTATGACACTGTGTATCACAATGTGTTGCCAAGGAGGTCTGACGTGCCATGCGGGGGTCTTATGGAGGAATGATTTTTGAAAAATCATTCAGGGATGTAACAAGCCAAGCATATAACCCCCCCAAACACACACCGTTTTACACATCAGAAGACGTCGTGCAAAAAGAGGAAGAAAAGAGCAAGACGACCTTCCAACTTTTAGAGAGCTGAGGAAAGAATTCTTTCAGACACATCACTCCTCCTGCTCTGCAACTTGTGATTGAAAGGAGCAGTTTGTTTTCATGCAATTAAATTTCTTTCTTCTTCAGTGTAGTAAGATACACGGTATCAATACCCATACTCTTCTTGTTCTGGAAGACGATCACTTAATCATGGTAAATCTGGCATGCAGGATGCTCAGAAGCCCAGATCCTTTGTGTACATCTCACAGCTTTACTGAGGCACTGACTGAGGGCACAGCTGTGCCACACACTGTGCCAGTCAGTGCAACTCCAAACCTCTGTGCCTGCCCGCCATACTTACTTGCTGCACCTGCTGTGAGGTCATTCAGGAAAGGAATAAGAGGAAGAAAAAAAAAGAGAAGAAAAGTACAGTAAGGCAGGAGACTGGACACACCTAGATTGGCCTGGACCGTTTCCCTGCGGATGCAACTCTGTATACAGATCGTGCCATGTGGGCAAACCGTCTTTGCTATTCGCAGAACGGGAACAGAAGAAGTAAAATGCCCAAAACACCAGTGAAAAAAGTGGCCGAAAGTGCAAGGTAAAAAAACTGAGGTTCAATTTAATCGATATCTAATACTGAAATATTAATTATTGCAAAACACACATTATATGAGGCCAGGATACTGGACACAGTGATCTTAAATGACTCACATTTATATTTTCTCCACCAACTACTCTTCTGTGAATATAATCAATTAACAATAACTGATTAAATCACAACTTTTTGGCGATACCTGCAGTGGTTCTAGAAGGTGTGATGCAGTGCTCTTCAGAATCAGTACACTCAGACATTTACAAAACATTCGTACAATTAAACAGGCTGGAGCTGCTTATTTCAGAAATACCTAAACTGACAAACTGCTGCAGAGAAAATGACCCAGGAATGAGGCCTCATATTCAAGAAGCCATTAGCACAAATCCAGAACCTACTATGAGAATCTTGGAAGGAAAGCTGTATTCAAATGAACACATCCTCACTTTCTGTAAACCCTTCAGCGGTAGTAGCACTATTTCCTTTTAAAAAGCTTCTAACCTGAATCCCATTTGCTTCTCCCACACTTACTTCTGATATAAGGACAAAATCTTGCTATTGCCCCACACTTTTGACTGGAAGTTTGCAACTTTGCACTAAGACAAGACCCTTCAACCCTGGTCTTGGAGAGACCCATTCCACCACATTTTTTAGGTAACTATTAAATCATTTCTAAAAGCTAGATTTTTTTATTTGTAATCAATTAAAGGGGTGATTTGTTCAAAGACGTAACTGAGTTATCTCAATAGAACAGATCATTTTCTTTAATCATCAGTAACATACAGGGGTTCTCTATCTTCAGAAACAGGAGGCTTGTAACACTAAAAAGCCTGGGACTCCTGAGGACCAGGGTTAGAGAGCGCAGACCCTTGCAGTATAATATTCAGCATTCAGCACCGCTAATAATTGACAACACTGCTATAGGACTAAGAGGCACTTCTGGACGTCTGGAGTCTGAATAGCACTCATGCTATTGCTGTCCAGAGAAATGTTTTCAAAAGCCGTGACAGGCCTCTGTGCCCTGGTATCCCACAATGCGCATACACACACCCTCTTCAAGTATACTGTAGTCCAGCCTTGGAAATCTGCCATCACAGAGCTGCACTTTCTCAAATAGCTACCAGGGTGACATCCACCTGTCCACAAGACCAGCTGTCTCTTCAGGCAGGTTTGCTTCAGTGTGTTCCTGTGAAATAGTTTTTTGGGCATGGAGAATGAGGAAGGAATGGGTACAGAGCGGGGTCTGTACCCAGAGTCTGGGGGCGCAGCTTGAAAAGAAACTGGAAAAAAAACCCGGAAAACCCAGGAACACACATTTTGCTAAAATATTGAAGTGTAACTTACTGACACTGGGGAACCAATAAGATTTAGGTTTTGAAATCAGTCTCTCAAAGGTTTACCACTGTGATCTTTGCTTTCTGTGTGAACATCCACATGAAACATGATGCAAAAGGTTTATCACATTTTCAGACACTGTTATGTTTACATCTCCTCGCGTTTGTGCTTGGTGTTTGGTTACAGTGACCTTTGAAGAGATTATGCCAGATTTATTCCAACAATTTTCACTAGAAGCCAAGAGGGACAGTGTGGAAGGTGTTGGTGCTGTTGCCTCATAGTACTTGAGCTCTTAATTTAATTAAAATGTACCTTTTGTGTAGAGTTCTGTGCATGTTCCTTTTTGCAGTTTTTTTTTTATAGTTTCCTCCAGGTGTTCCAGTTTCCTCAAGTAATGACTGCAGCTCTGCTGTGACCCTGCTGGGATTTAGCTATGCCAAAACACCATTGTCCGAGTTTCACATTCTCCAAACACATGACATCTAGGTAAAGCGGTGTCTCTAAATTGTCTGTCTGAGTGTGTCCTGAGATGTCCTGGCATCCTGTAGTCCTGCCTTGAACCCTGTTTCCTGGACAGGGCATGGCTTACCACAACCAGCAGCTTTCTGATAATAAATAGAAAATTAGACACTTTGCAAAAGTAATAATGAATATTAAAGTTAGTTCTATGCTGCGATGCAGCCATATCACCCTGCAGCTCATAACTTGCTACCCACTGAAGCAAAGTAGGGTTGAGCCTGGTCAGTACCTTGATGGGAGACCTCCTGGGAAGCTATGGTTGCTGCTGGAAGTGGTTTTAGTGTTACCAACGGGGGGGCACCCACCCTGTGTGGGTCATAATGCCCCGGTATAGTGGCGGGTAAATTATACTGTAGTGGGCGCCATCTTTCGGATGAGATGTTAAACTGAGGTCTTGACTCTCAGTGGTCATTAAAGATCTTCAGGCATTTCTCGATAAGAGAAAGGAGTTATCCCAGTGTCTGGGCCAAATTTCCCCCCTCTCCCTTTACCGTGGCCTCTAAATTGTCCCCATGTATGATTGACTTGCACTTGCCCTGCGATGGACTGGTGCCCTGTCCAGGGTCTGCCCTGCCTTGTGCTCATTGCTTGCCGGGTAGGCTCCAGCTTCCCGTTACACCGTGTGGTATAAAGATGTTTGATAAATGACCTAACAATGCTGTGATATTCATTATTTTGCTTCTGGGTCACCATGAGGCCTTTAATCTTGTCACGTCTTTTCCTGTGGTGCAGCGTGAGGACAGGCTTTGCTTATTGCCATAGCCACCTTGTGCTAAGGCCTTCTCTCCTGCACACTGCAGCACTGAAGGTACAGCTAGCTCCTACTGAATCAACCGGCTGACCCCCGGCACGCTAGGCAGCAGGTCAAGGAACAGGTCGGAATCAATCAGCTCTCATTCTGAGGTACTGGGCAAAACAAGCTGACCAATAACATTACTCTTGATATGTTGGCCGTTTGGGACTGTCCTCAGATTCATGACTGTGATCCGTCTGCAATCCTGCATGTTTCTTTTCCACAGTTGCACCTTTTATAAGTCAAAAGTGACACTTCATCATTACATAGATGGACAAAGCTTTCTTTTACAAAAGAAGTATTACACTGCACAACACATTTACAGTTACCTGTAAATCTATAATATGTCATTATTCATCCATCCATTTTGTAACTGCTCCATCCAATTCAGGGTCACAGGGGAGCTGGAGAGTATCCCAGCAAGCAACAGGCATAAGGCAGGGTACACCCTGGATGGGATAGCAGTCCACTGCAGGGCAGACTGAACCCAGGTCCCTGAACCCAGGCCTGTGAGGCTGCAAAGCTAACCACTGTGCCACCACACTGTTCCATTATATTATATCCAGTTGTTAATAGGAAGTTAATTGTTTGAATATTCCAGCATTATAATAATTCCTTACCCTTATATAGCTTTGCTGGACACTCAGCTCAAAGTGTTTTACAGGTAATGGGGGCTCCCCTCCACCACCACCAGTGTGATGCCCCACCTGGAGGATGCGACGGCAGCCATAGTGCACCAGTACGCTCACCACACACCAGCTATCAGTGGGGAGGAGGACACAATAACGAAGCCGGTTCATAGATGGGGATTATTAGAAGGCCCTGATTAGAAAAGGAAATTTGGCCAGGACACCAGGGTAACACCCTTACTCTTTTCGAGAAATGCCCTGGGATTTTTAATAACCAGCTCTTCTTTTTAATAAAAGATTCAGGACCTCGGGTATACCCCTCCTCCAAAGGATGGCGCCTTTCTTACAGTATAGTCTCCCAGTCCCTATATTGGGGCATTAGGACCCACACAGAGCACAGGGTGAGCTCCCCCTACTGACCCCACTGACACCACTTCTAGCAGCAACCTTAGCTTCCCCAGGAGGTCTCCCATCCAGCTCCTGGCCAGGCTCATAGCTATTTGGTTGCCAGTTGTGAGTTGCACTGTGATATTGGTGCCAGCTAAGTGTTAACAGAATCATTACAAGTTTGTCCCCGCATCACCACAGTCCTGGAACTACAGCACTTGCTACCTGCTTTCCCCACTCTTTAATTCCCAGATCCTGCTTTTAAACAGCTGTGCAAAAACAGGCAAACATTTCAATGAATCTGCTTTACTTTCTGAAAGCTACTTTGTCCTCTTCCTAAATTAGATGTTTGTGGGTCCAAGGATTGTATTTGATGTGATCCCTCTAATTCGGTCAGACTTTAATTCAAAACTTCTAATTATTATCGAGATCATATCCAAGCATAACTTCGTGTTCTTGTGACGGATACTATGTAAAACTCACAGTAGGATTAGAGGATCGGCGGAGCTAAATTGATTCATGACGACCAGAGACCCATTTAAGCTGCTTTGCTTTTGTGTTCCCATGCACAGGGCGCGTGTTACGGGAACACTAACGAAAAAGCAACTCTAGTTACTCTATGGAGTAACGACAAATATCAGATTACCCTAAATTTCTACAGACACGAATACACAAATGGGAACTTCTAACGGACCTATAGCGCTTCCATAAATAAGTTTCGCTTATAATTCCACGCGTTTTATTTAAACAAAATGAATTTATTTTTTGAATGAGTCTTTTTGCCCAATAACACAATGTATTAATTACAGAATATATTAATGTGAACTAAGCAGCGAATAGAATTGGAATAAATCTACTACAATAGCAAAATAGTAAGTATGCAAATTGCTTGAATTACATACAACACGTATACTGAAATTAAAAGCGCAATAAATGGACTCCTAGTTTACTGTTTCAACTACGTTTTAAGGTAAGCGCCCAATGAGTCATAAAGTATCTGTAAAGCGAGGCTTATCTTATTCGACGTCTTCGCTCTTCACTGCATTGGTTGTTGAAACTAAAAAAATGGTAACAATACAAATCTAACTGGAGGAAAGAAATATATATATATATTTATCTTTCATTGTATAACTTGAAAAAAAATACATTTTATGATTTGTTGTACTGCATAATCTTAAAATAACAAAAGATGGTCAAATTGAGATATCAAAATATTTTATCTTTTTTCTAAAGAATCAGGTTATCTGGATCGCCATTAAAAGCGTGAAATGAATTCTGAGACCTGTTTTATATAGTACAGCACTGAGGGTGAATTCACATCAAAATTTAGAAAATAAGTCCAATCCTCGCATTCTCCAACTTCAGCATTATAAGCGTCACATGAAAATATTAAATAAAATTGAGAATATTAAATCAAATTAAGATATCAAAATATTTTATCTTTTTTCTAAAGAATCAGGTTATCTGGATCGCCATTAAAAGCGTTACTATTAAAAAGTAACAACAACAACAACGATAATAATAAAATATAATAAAAGCAACAAGTTCGGAAATACTCTCCTGCAGCTGGGGCAGGGTGTAAAATGTAGTGCAAGATATCGGAGCCGTGTTTTCCTTCAAAGGAGCAAAAAAAAGGTAACAAGAGATTTTTTAATTTAAGATCCTGGCTGCGAAGACGCGGACAAACGTGGTTAAACTCACTTGGAGCTTTGACTTTGGACATGGCGACAAGACAATCCGACACCTTCCCACCGAAGAGATGAAGAGCTGTTCAGCCAACCGAGACAGCGGAGCAGTGAGAGGATTTCAGAGCTCATTGGAATATATTTCCCCGGCGACTAGTGTAACCAGAGAGGCCCCCGGTCTTAAAAAAGGCAGAGGAGGCATGATTAGCTATTTTAAGGGGTCTCAGAGTGCAGACCGCTCTGGCACGGAGAGGCTAGCGCTGAGCCGGTACGATAGCAACTGAACCGCGCCTTCGGGGATTTCATAGATAAAGCAGTCCACAGAGCGTACATATGAGGAAGATACTGAGACACTCCGCGACCACAAGTTCACGAAGAGCCATGCACACGCTACCAAAAGACATACAGTTGTGTCTTTAGTACTGACTGAAGAATAGATTTATCACCATTTGGCCAAGTAATCTAAAACTGAAATTCTGCAAATGATATTTCTGCTAATCAAGTGCCAGTTCAGTTAATTCAGTTAGTTGATTAATTTTATTAACTTCATTTAGTAATGATATGTGCTGCGCTATCTAATAAAGCAGATAAATTACATAATAGGTGTCATCGATTCAGAAAAGTATCAAAGGCAAAATCTATTGCTGTCTTTGTCTTCCCTATAGTGCAGGAATTGGACTAAAAAACACATTGAACAAGAGTCACTCTTTCAAAAACACCAAACTAGAAGATGGGACATTTGTTATACAAGGGACATCTTATTCTGGACTGCCATGGTCCTGGGGCCGCCCCTGCTACCAGTTAAATTTACAGCACTGAAGGGTCTTTGTTGAATCTACAGATCTTTAGAAATTTGATTCCTGAAGCAGAGGTCCAGTAACTGTTGTCTATATGTAAGCAACAGACCCTTCAGCCTGATTTTCATTCTGCTCACCCTAACCTAGGTGGAAATAATTCACAGAATGAGCTCCACATGTGAGCAGTGACGCACAACTGTGCATCTTACCGAGCTGATACTGCTCATGCTACTGCGAGGTTGGGCCCTGGGTCTTTGATAAGGGCATCCTGGATTGCAGTTATGAACTGTAGTAAATATAGCCATATAGTAGTGGTCACTAGGGTCAGTGCGAGAACATTTTATCCATGCACGTCATTGCTTCTCTCTCAATGGTCCTCTCTCGAACTGGGGGAGTAATATCATTGACCATCCAGAATAGCCAAAAGCACCAAATAAAACTCTACCCCACAAAAACATGGAAACAAATCACAACCTCCCCTTTTGTTATTACTCTTGACACAGTCTCCCACAGAAATATATGAAACCCTTATCCAATGCCGAGTAAAAAGAAGAAAACACTTTCTAGTAAATTAATTTACTCATTAAGCATTACATTTGTTTGCATTATAATACAAGCATAACCATAATACCATTCCAGGTCACAATTACACTGCACAACAAATCCAAGCACACAGTCTTATACAACTTCAAATTTACAGAAGCAAAAGTAAAAACAAACCTTTCAGAATCAAACGCAGCCCTTGTGGTAGTCAGCTTAGAGCACAGTTGTCAGTAGATTCGCACCCTTACCCGAGGACAGGGAGGCATGTGGGAACAGAGAGGTGCTGCTGTCGACTGGGGATTTTTGCAATGTTACTATACAAGGCCACAGCAAAACACTGAATCCCAGACAATGAGAGCGGTAACCAGAAGTTTGAATATAAAACCTGTAGGTTGAAGCTCTCCAAGATCAGGAACAAAGAGCACTGTGCTATCTTCTTCATTCTGGTGAACTCTTGCGATTCCAATATGAAATTGTTAACAGAATACAAGTGCAAACACATAAAGATCACATTCTGTCCTGTTCTGTTTCCAGTGCCAGTTTGCCTGCTAGATGTTTTTCCAATGAGAGCGGTAATCTGGAGAGCACTCTTTAAATGTGAAGCAATCATCAAATCCCCCTCAAATTAACAGCAGCAGCTAAAACAGCTATGACTTGTTCATCACCTTACTAGAAAAGATGCACATTCCCTTTAATATTACAGCTGCAAAAAAGGAACTCACACGGGAATGTGCACAGTGACAAGAAAAAGGAAGGCACTCGGCAACAGTTTAATGCAGTTTCCAAAACGACTCAAAATGCTTTGATGGCTACAGGTGCCAAGTTCACGAAGTTCTACATAATTCAACACTCCACTCTGACAAAGCTACTGTGCCCATGTCCCCCCTCTGTCAGATCCAATCAAAAGGGCTTGAACTTTCCATCCAGAAGGGCCCACGATGACCGCCATCAGGGAGTTCCAAAAACTATCAAGCGTATGTCTTGAATAAGAATTTTCAGTCTGTGCATCTTTTTTTCTTCTCAATACCAGATGAGACTGCAGATAAGAGACTCCGTTGGCCTGCAGTCTCTCTGGATGACTTGCAGGGCTCCACGCTTTGTCCTTGCCTGTTCTGCTCTTTATTTCACCACACCAGAAGAGAAAGACAGCCCTCAATTCTCAGTGCAGCTTCACTTGTACTTATCACCTGTGGCAATTTGCTGGGCTGACAGGCATCACATTCTACTAATCAATAAGCACTAAATTTCTAATGATATACTTTCACCATGTTTGCAGTGATGCACCGTAAACCCATGGGCACATCATATATGAAAGTGTAGTTCAACTGAATACTTCAACATTACACATTCAGTGTAAATATTAGACAATGTAAAAATACTCATTTAAGGTTTGCAACTGTAAACCACCGGTGTAGCATATAAGAGATATTGTGTGAACACTTTTTAACATGCTCATCCTGACTTCAGTAATACAATTACCTATTTGATATTTCATATATTAGATCCAGAATACCAGTGCCCACCAAAATCATCCACATAAGTACATGAATACACCTTAATTAGCCTCAGTGGGACAGCAGTGGAGGTGATCCTTGATTCTGTTCCAATGCTAAGGTGAGAGATACATGGTTTTAAATACCCAAGTAAACCAAGTCTGATCACACAGCAGATGTGAATCAACCAAGTACATTAGAGCAAGATATTAAAACAAGTCCTCAGTGTTACAGAGAATGTCTCAAAGAAGGCCTAAACCCCAAACATCCGACACTAGCGCAGCCATTTTCTTTGATAGTGATCAAATCTTTCCAGCACCAAATCTGAAGTCATGTTATTGGCATTACCAATGAAACAAAGCCTGCGAGATCAAATGTGATAACACCACCTGTTCTCTAAAACAACACTCTTGTGAGGCTCAGTCACACTGAACAGTGTTGTAGCAGAACATGGTTGACTTGTGTGAAGGACACCAATTTTACAGTTAAAGTCTAGTGGAAACGTTTAAACTTTTAATTTTTAACATATTGAAACCCTCCATAACATTCCTTAAATGTAGAAAACCTTAAAATACCTACACCTTGAAAAACTATTTCTATACTTTTGACACCGGTAGAGGAAAATGGCATAAAAATAATGGGTTCAGCTTTTTCACCCCCCACTTCTGAAATCAGATATGGAAATGAGCATAAGAAACCTGTAATGAAGACCAGATATTCAGCATCAAACTCTCAGACGCCAAATCAAGGCCTCCGCTTAACGAAGATCTGACTGACCAACACTGAGCCAGAAAAGCTGTCCAGCGGGCTCTCAAAATAAACACTGACTGGCACGTCAAAAGGCCATACAGCTGCAGAGGCTGAGTCACTGGATCTCACACTCTCAGAAGCGAGCCCTGTTTTCACCCATCATCTGTTACAGAAAAATACTGTGGCACTAGGCTTCAATAACACCTTCCAGCTGTACAAGGCTAACTTTCAGAGACATAATTATAACACATAAAGAAATTCTGATTGCCTCAGTGTGAAATATTAATAACAGGGGCTTTTTTACTCCCTTCCTGTTCTAAACTTCAGGTTAGTAAAGGCCACTTTTACTTTCTAATTTTAAAAATGTCCACTTCACCACACAAAGCCAATGTATGAAGTGAGCAGGGAAGCAATATAATTGTGAAACTTTCAGAGTGCCTTCAAGCCTTCTTCAATGTAGTTTTATAATTCTATCCAGCTTGTCACAATAAAAGTTTCTAAAGCCTAAATATATTCAAAGGTAAGGTAATGTTTGAAATTCCTCAATATATCAGTGGAGAGCCAATGTTTTGGGGGCTTTAATTCTGAGCTTTTAATGACTCAATCAATGGCATAACTTAGTCCAACACCTTTGAAATCTTTAATCATTCAGAAGTTTGAATATAAAACCTGTAGGTTGAAGCTCTCCAAGATCAGGAACAAAGAGCACTGTGCTATCTTCTTCATTCTGGTGAACACGATTCCAATACAAAATTGTTAACAGAATACAAGTGCAAACACATCACATTCTGATCACATTCTGTCCTGTTCTGTTTCCAGTGCCAGTTTGCCTGCTAGATGTTTTTCTGTACAGTGGTATTGGAAAGAACTGTCTAAGCAAACAGTACCGGGATCAGTTAAATTCTCTACACAGGATGCTTTTTCAGCATGCCCAGAACATTAAGTCTCCAATTATTCTTTAAAAAAAACACCTCCTTAAAATAGTGATGCATTACAATAAGGTGTTACAACTTCAAGTTATAAAGAACTTATTCAGGAAAGACTAGGATGAATCACCCCTAGAGCATTAACTAAAGAAAAAGTGGACAGCATGGCATTAACAAATGTGCTCCCATCTTGGGGAGAGGTTTCTGCAAGGATATGGCATCTTCAGAGAGTGTTCCATAAGGGAGCGAGGACTCCCTACAATTTACTTAACCATATAACAGCTGCACCTGAAGAATTGAATCTTCTCCTGAAATGCATTCAAAGTCCAGTACTTATCACATAGGTGGACACTTTTCATTAGTTTATAAAGCAGATGTGCCAACTGAACTCCTGGAGGGCTTGGGGCTCTGGTTTCTGCTCCACCTGAGCTCTCAGTAAGACATTATTGGTCTAATTAACAGCATAATTGCTCATTTTTCTAATCGGGCTTGGTGCGCTATGGGAACCTGGGTGGACTGAAGTGTATTTTGTTTAGTAACCATTCATAAACAACCTCAAGAAATATCCTTTAACCATCTAATTAAAGAAATTGAATTGACTCCGCAGACTGTATCAAAACCAAGAAGACCCCCAGGACTACTCGGAATTGAGTTTGACCATGTTTTAAATTCACTCCAATTCTCAGCTATGCAGTTTGAGAAGAAACAGAACAGGGGGACTGATTTTTTTGCAGTCAGTCAAATACCAAGGGAAGTCCTGGGAAAGAGCCCTTTCGCTGGAATAGAAACCAAATGTCCTCACCATCAGCAAGACCTTGTGTGACGTCACAGGGCCTGCAAAGGGCAGTACTGGTGGTTCTAGATTCAAGGCCTTCATGCTGACCAGCAATGGACAGGAAAGGGCCTAACCTCAAGAAGCACACAGAAACTGCTGAGCAGTTCCTGCTCCATGGCCCCACAGGCATGCAGAAGCCATTCTACCATTAAAACAAACAAGGAGGCTTGGCCTGCTCCTAGTCTGGATTATTAAACCCTTTTTCAGGCAGGATTTGAAGTGACCACTAGGTAGAAGCTAGGTCTACAGATGAATGATGCAAACAGGTGCCGTGAAATACCTTTATTCTTTTACTCGTCACACTTGAGTTTCTCCCCATGGGGTGAAGAGTAATGGCCTAAATGGGCCCTGGTACACACTCACTGTGGCAGAGGTGCACTGGATTTGCAGATTTAAGCTTTGAGGTAGAGGTGATTGCAGGCCACATTGGGAAATGTTTTTGGGCACAATGAAATAAAACCAAAAACACAGGGACTGGCGTGCTTCAGCACATTACTTTGGACCTCTGTTGAGGCACTGTCTTGTCAGGGATGGTCAAGATTAACCCAAATCAACTGAATTTTCCTGGATACATCTTGACAACTAACTTGTCAGCCTCAGAGGTATGCAATTCTATAGCACAACTAGCCCTTATTAAAAGAGAAAAGTTGAAAACAATTAAAGAGGAATCACTAAGGGCTGAGATGTAAGCAGTAACCGAACAAAGCCGTGCTGTAATTAGCACCCTTTAAGGCAAAAGGCATCCGGGTGACTTATTTTTCTTTTTCAGTCTGTATCATAGAAGCCACTGGTACTTCATAACAAGGGAAACTGTAAAACTCAAAAGCTTTTACTCCAGAAACTACTCCTGAATAATGCAAAGATTTTAACAGTGTGGCAGATGTGTCAGGCTTAAAAATAATCTATAAATCCAAAGAAATGTACAAAAAAATTAAATAAGTTCATCACATACAGGCCACTTGCATGTAGATGTAGAGATAAACGAGCACAACTGGAACTCTAATGGGTTTTTATCAGAAAACGTTGAAACCAAAAACCATGAGCAGTGGGTTGGCTAATCCGGCAGCTGCCGAGCAGCTGGGATAGTGATGGATGACGATGCTGGAATCTCTGGTGTCTCAAGGTCGGGTACAGAAAAGGTTGGGGGGGGAACACGAGGGCTACAGACTCCACAGTGGTGCTCGCCTGGCCAGGGAAGTTGAGAACAGAACCCAAGGTGATCGGGCAATTGAAGCACAGTGGAGGAGCTCCCAGGGCCCAGAGGAAGCAAGGGAGGGGGAGCAGGAGGACCTGCCAGCACATCCAATCACAGTAATGCCCCTCTCTCTCTCCACTGCAGCTCACTGTGTCCAGGCCCAGCCCGACCAGCAGGGGGCGAGGCAATGACTTTAGCCCTGCAGGGAAGAAATGGCAAAGAATAGTCAACAGGATGAATTAGGATGGACTTAAAAAAAATCAACACAAAGTGGCAAAGCAACAGCTAATTTCCCCATGGGAGGTATAGTGTAGTATATAACATTCACCTAGAGCTAAAAGAGCCTGAGTATAGATAGCGAATGATAGTGTGATCAGGAATTCCCAAGGTAAAGCACACAAATGGCTGAACAGGGTTTGAGTGCTCTTGGTGTTGTCAAAAAGACATGCTCCTTTTCTCCAGTCAGTTTGCTCTCCTGTGAGGGGCTGTAGAGCTGGTGACAAAGGTGCTGACTGGTGGGTGTGCTAGAGAAGTCCTCCTGTAGGCTCTTAAACTCTCTGTACTATAAGGCTTCAGCTTCAACAACTAATGGATCAAACACTCATAAGAGGATGAGCATCCTAGGAGGTATGTCAATGGTACAGTAATACAAATGCAGATTGACACAGACGCGTATTTGGAAACCCAGGTGGAAAGAGGGTTTGACATTTAGGGACAAATTCCTACCCTAATTCATGACCAACTGCAGCCTGTCCTACTGGAGCATGCTCATCCTGGAGCTCATGGAGCCCTGGTTGTGGCAGTCAGGATGTGGTTGGACACCCACTGCCCTCATGGCAGACTCACCCGATCACATCACGCTGCAGGACACCCCCATACAGCCCTGTTTCCGGTCCTCACGGCTGTTCAGCTTCTTCATCCGGTAATGCCTGATCTCCCGAACCAGAGTGTAGAAAGCGTCTTCCACTCCCTGCACACACACACAGGCAGCAAGGGGGTTACAGGAGAACTGGAGCTAAACAGTGGGTCACTACTCCTAACTGATCTTGGCCCTCCATTGGACATTCAGATTTGAGATGAACCTATTTTACTTGTTAATTATCTTAACAGAAAACCAGCCTTTGCGCCTGAAGTCCCCCTCCTGTGTTAATCATATATCCACCTTGAGCACTAAGAATTTCTACCATATGAAAGCTAACTGCACTGCAGCAGGTGTGCAAAAAACAGTATAAAAGTATAGGATAAACCAGTCATCTGTTATTTTTTGTGATTGAACTGTGGATCAAATAATATGCTTGTCTAATCCACTTTAAAGAGTGTCCCCAATAAACAGTTTTAGAGGACTAATATAATGTACACAATAAGTGAGCTACATTGAAAGCAACTGTGTTAAACAAGTTCCCAGTCAACAAAACTAAATCCAAGTGTGTTTCACAATTTGCTTCAAATGACATGTTCATTGACCTTTAAATGCTCATCATGTTATAACAGTTACTTCTGCACTTTGGGGAAAAAATATAAAGCTGAAAAGCCACCTAGACCTGGTTTATATCCAAACATTCCCAGCGTAATCCATCATATATTGGTAATAGTTATTAGTCTCTTAGAAATTTACAATTTTAGAATTCCTTTGCCCTGCCTAATACACAAAACTGCAAATGCCAATCTATGCACAGTGTAGTGCTGCATCATCTTCAAATTGTGACAAAGCAGTATCTGGTTTCTACTCATCCTTAGTTACCAAGACTTTAATAAGGCCCTGTGAAATGAGGTTTGTCATGAAATACTTCTCTGGAAAAAAGCTTGAGTTTAGGACACTTTTCTCAGGTTATGGGTGACCACACACCTGTCTGGTTTTAGCTGACGTCTCCACAAACTCGATGCCGTAACTTCGAGCCAGCTCCTGCGCCTGCTTCGTGTCCACAGTCCGCGTTGGCAGGTCACACTTATTGCCCACAAGCACCATGGGCACGTCATCCGAGTCCTTCACCCTCTTGATCTGCTCCCTACAGGATAACAAGAGACTCCGTGATTTTTCCCTGGGTAAGCACCAAAGCAGGAGATAAAACTCTGGCTAAACAATTTCTGCCCTCGTAATTACAACTGAACATGAAAACCAAACCATGCTTACAGCAATCAGTTAGTCAAGTTGAGAGGTCAACAAATGGAGAACCAAACTGACAGGACACTGTGCTGTTCTCAGCAGAAAACAATTCTGATGTTCAATGGGATTTTTTTATCCCATCGTCTCTCAACAACTAAAGGAAATGGCACAATAACCTTGTTTTTTTATGTTTAAGCACTTTCAGATTTTCTGAAAGCCAATAGAGAAGGAGAGGTAGGCTGCAGGTTGTTCTCTGACCTGTACAGGTGGATGTCAGCGAAGGACTTGCTATTGTTGATTGCAAAGACGCACAGGAACCCCTCTCCTGTTCGCATATACTGGTCCCTCATGGCACTGTACTCCTCTTGACCAGCAGTGTCTAGGATGTCCAGCAGGCATGTCTCCCCATCAATCACCACCTGCTTTCTGTAGGAGTCCTGGGGTACAATGTAAAAAGAGAACGATGGACATTAAAACTATAGTATACATTATACATTCCCAATATGATGTATTGTGTTGCGCAGAGCAATGTAAAAAAGGATTTTATTTATATTTATTTATAAGGTGGTCAGTACCTACCTCAATGGTGGGGTCATATTCGTCTACAAAGTGGTTCTGTATGAGCTGGATGGTCAAGGCGCTTTTTCCCACTCCTCCAGCTCCCACCACCACCAGTTTGTACTCCGTCATCTCAATGCAACCCCGTCCTGCACCAGAGAAACACACCTGTAAGGGTCAAGGTCATTTTCCCACACTTGGGCCATGGAGAAACGTTTTTCCTGAATTTTACTAGTTTTCAGTACTCTCATGCTCCAATGTGCTTTACAATTCGACTGTGGTTTACTGCAATTCACCATGCTAGATCAGCCTTCAGCATCCCCTTGTGGAAGAAAAAAAATAAAGAGTGACAGAGGGGTCTGTCCCCAGTGACACTGGTCAACCGATGCCATTGGTCTTTGACCATTAGGATGTTACAGATCTGATCCCCCTAAACCTGCTGGGCTCTATCCTTCCAGCAGCTGGAGACGAATGCGGACTTTGATAAAAGCAATAGTCTGCCATGACTTTGCATTCATACACATCACCAGTTGCAGTAATTCCTGGCACAGGATATCTGTAATGCTGACATTGTAACACTCAACACTTCGTAACATCAATATGGTTATCTCTTCCTGTAACACTCTGTAATACTATGGCATTTTGTAATACTGTAAACTCCAAACCCAGGAATCACTCATTACCAATCTAGCTCTGAATACCTCCCCACAAGCTGCTCTAACAGTGACTTGTACTCAGGACAGGATTCCAAAACAATGCAACAATTTTCCAACATTACCTATTTTTTCTTGTACCCCTAAAACATTTCTGGTTTAGTCTGCTGAGGAAAGCAATAATTTGTCAGACTGTTCAGATGTTCTATGGTCTGTTTGTGAATTTTATTCCGCACTAACAGAAGTCTTTTCATCTAGAGCTCCCATCTACAATTCAGGAACAACATAAACCCCTTTTACCAGTTGCCTTAGGCGGAAAAGAGCACAGTAACACTGGACTGGTGGACTGAATGCAGTGCTACTTCTTGTTGCACAACCTACTGAAAAGGGAAAGCTTTTTTTTTTTGCTGAAGCTCCTATGCTTCAGCAAAAACTGAAAAGGCCTTAAGTTGTTCATTCAGTAGAGGCAATACCGGGATACACATTTTAACCCAACAATAACAGGTTTCTAATGTTCAGTAGATAAAAGGTATAATGTACAAAGTCATTCACTAAGACCAATATTGTAGGAATACTGGTGTTCTAAATATTTAAGAACTATAAAAACCAAGACAGAATAAAAAATTGAAAACAGTAGATATTAACTCTTTAGCTGTGCAATTTTTCATCCGTCATTGAAGTCCATCTCCTATGGGGCTGTTAAATTCTTCCTACTCCAATGCCACACAGCAGCTCAGAAATATTTCTCACTTGATGCATTTACAGGGCACCAAGTTACTGGATTCCCTCTGCTCTGCAGCTGCAGATTTGGCCAACAGGATAAAGGTCTTGCACAACACATCTTGCAATGCAGAGCAACATCACATTTTCTCTCACCACAGTACTTGCTGAAGGCAGCTGGAGAGAGAAGTGTCCACTACAATCTAGCCAATTAAAACCTTTTACTGCCCGTTAAGGCACAGAGTTCCATTCCACTCTGAGAAGGACCTGTACATTGGGTCTTTTAGACTAGAGTGTTAAAAGACAGGCAACATCAGTTTCTCTGAAAAGAGACTTTGTAGCTCTGAAATTGTTTTATATACAAATGTGTTCTACACACTTGATCAAAGCACATTTTGATGGGTCAGGAGTCAAATGCCAAGCCAGCTGTAGTGGGCCGCCACCTGTAACTAAACATTATAAATTAAATTACCTGCTAATTATAAAATATATAATGAAATAAAACTCAAAACAACTATTTAGAACTGTCTGAAGAACATAAGTGAATAAGAGTAAATTACTGCTTCCCTCAGCAGGTTAAACCAAGGAATGCATGTTAGGGGTATGGGGGAAAAAAAAATCAGTAATGTTGGGGAATTACTGGATTATCTTGGAATCCTGCCCTGATTGCAAGTCTGCAAGCCAGTGTTAAGAGAGCTTTGTGAGGAGGTGTTAAGAGCTGGACTTGTATTCAGTGACTTCTGGAATTATACAAAATGTATAAAGAAAAGCCAGATAAGAGCATCTCTCAACTGAAAGAAAACTATCCCCACTCTTTAGGTCCACAAACGCTCTTTTGAAAGTGTGGGTGTTAAAATCTATAATGTAGCATTTAATACAAGACTAGGATAAAGATAAGAAGCTACATTATCTTATTATATTGTCTTTATATTTGAAGTTTATATTGGGAAGCCCAACCACAATAGAAACCTCTGGATTACAGAGTCCAATTTGCACTGTAAACAGAAGTAACTACTGGAAAAAAAATAACAATCATGTCAATTTCAGGCTCTCTCGTTCTTCAGCAGGCTGTAGTTGGCTTCCTCCATTACACTGTGTAAAGGCAAGCCAGATAAGAGAACCTCTCAGCTGCTGGACAAACTCAGTGCCCACTCTTCCTGCCTCCAAACACTATTTGGAAAGTGTGGATGTTAAAATCTATTTCTGATCCATCAGGCAGGGAAGCGTGTACTGCCTGCTAAGCCGAATGTCAAAGTTCCCTCGTTTCAGATGGGGCTGAGGCAGAAGAAAGCTGAGAGCATGGAGCGAGGCTCTTGTATACTTGCAGGAGGCCAAGATTCCATCCTGTTAATGACTGGAGGGGCAGGCTGTCACGGCCCCCCATACCAGAAGCTGACTGTCTCTGTCCCAGGTTCCCACAGCCATCCCTGGTCCTGGAGGGTCCCAACCCACTTTTTCTCATACCTCACCCTAAATCACCCGCCATTTTAAAAACAGGAAAACTTGTTTTAAGCAATTCTTCAAATCAAGCAAATGCTGTTTCTGCGTAGAGAACAGTGATCCTTGAGGACTCGAGCATATTCTGATTTTTGTTCCAAATGATCTCGAAATGACTTAAACACATCACCTTTTTAATTGATCAGCATTAAACTGCTCCAGGGATTTAGAAAGTGGGGAATCAAAGGCCACCTATAAAGCCTGCTGTTCCAGGGCTCTGCAGGACTAGGCCAGGAGATCCCAGATGTAAAGACTACATAGAATAAGGACAAGTAAACCAACTATTACACAAAAATTCCCCCATTTCACTTATTCCCCAATTCTTGGGGGGGGGGGTGTTTCCAGAGTGCTTTGTCCAAAGGCTGCTCAGTAATATCTTCCTATAAGCACAGCCCTGGATAAAAGGTGCACTCCTGTACTCCTGAAAGGCTAGAGCAGGAACTGTGCACTACGCGGCAGGTAGAGATTGGGAGGGAGACCCGCGTTTAGAGCAGAATTGTTTTTTTTACACCTCACGGTAGCATAAAAATTCACAATGCAGAGCTCTTCTCTCACAGCAGTGTGAAACAGACAGCAGTCATGGGGGGACACGCCCCTGCACTTACCTATACCACACCAAGGAATGCGTTTTGAAATCAAAGACCCATACAGGCAGGAAAAATAATCAGAATGCCCTGTTTCAAACCCCGCTATCAGTTCATCAAACCCATTTACTAAGTTACTGTATGTTCTCACTGTAGAAAGTGTGAGTTCTGCTGAAATTCATCAAGAACCTAGCTGTGCAAGTAGGTGGAAAGAACACTGCTGCCACCTAGTGGCAAGACCAGCTAAAGAGACAGAAGCCACACATTTTCAAACCATAAACCACAGAATTTTAATTTGCATGTTCATCATGCTTAAAATTACAGGACCACATAGATGGCTTTTAGATTAATGCAAAGAAGACTGCCATAAATTTCCTTTTACAATCAGAGATCCATAATCACTTCAAGATTTCATTCAAACTAAAAGGGCTGATTCAAATTGGCCCATGGATTATTCAGTGCATAGGGGGACCTTAATGTGCCATATCATCACATAATGATTAAATCCCTAAGCTGGGTAGATCTAGTAAGATGACATCACAGATGGTCTGCAACGGTGGACTAATGCAATACCCACTATAATAGTTACTCGATTGGGGTGCACAGAAACTGTTTAGGCACCAACTTCAAAGCAGTCTGGTTTATTCCATGTTTTAAAAGCTATAGGATCTTATAGTCCTATCTGCACAGACAGATGTTTGGAGTTACTATTTTAACTGCTTCACTTAAACTCAAACCAAAGTTCAAAAACAGTAGCTATTCAGTAGATGAACTTTATACTCACACATTTGCAAAACACGTGCCAATAAAAGCATATTGTACAGACACACAATGGGCAACTCAGTAATCAAGATTGATTTCCACTTAGCGAAATACTGAACTAGCACTGGATTTGTATACTGGATCAATGTTTGCAAAGGAAAAAAAATAGAAATAAAAAAAGGCACACCTTAATTGACTGCTATCCAGCATTAGCTGATCCTGGTCTCCCTAAGTTTTTTTTTTTATTTTCCCCTAAAATCACCTTTCACGCTACACAGTAACTAATCAGTTTCTTCCTGTCCTGACGTTCATCTGTAGAACGATTTGGTTAACTTGTGCACCACTGGATTCTCAAAGATTCTCCAACACTGGCAGCTGGGTAGGCAGAGACCAAAAAGGGGGCTCTGGTGCCTGTATATCAAGGTGGCAGAGGTGCCGAGACACACTTGAACCCCGAGTCTGACCACATCATGAAGCACTGCCTCCCTTTGCACAGCTGCAGGTTTCTGGAGAGAACATCAGCTCAATTAAAACCATAAAAAGAATCTGTAACAGACAATCACCCAGAATAGACAGAGGAAGTGGACTGTGACACGAAATGTAGATGATGCTGGATAACCGACTCATTTAAACCACACTTGAGCTCTCTGAAGCTATCAACGTAAACTACAAAAGCATGTCTTGCACAATGGCCTGTAACACTTTCGATCCTTTTTTAACTTGAAATGGTTGTCACAGGAAAGGCCATCCATTCAGAAAACTCTGGAAATACTCCTCACATGAAAAGCACAGTGTACAAAATGATCGACAGAGCATCCTTTATTCTACATGAAACAGTCTGGTGAATTGTGGACAGAACAAGACTGGATAAGGTGATCAACACAAAAAAGCACACCTGTAACGATCTGTAAAACGTGCCCCACACGGACAGAAATTGAATAACTGGATCCAACGAGCAAGAAACAAAAGCGGCTTTGGATTTTTCAAGAAAAGACTGGATGCGATTTCCGAATCAGGTCTCGGAGAGTTCTCGGGAGTCAGGGAGTTCCCATTACCTGTAAAGCACTTTGAGTGGAGTGTCCAGAAAAGTGCTGTTTAAAGATAAGGATTATTAATTTAGTTTGTTGCAGGCAACTGTCTCAGCGACAAAGACTGAAAGGCCTCCTGTCCTTTGCAACATCTTATGTTCTCATTAAAAGAATTGGTCTTCTGATTTTACTAACTGGCTTCCCAAAGACAGAAATACCACTAGCCCAAGAAGACACCGAAGCCCCGGATCTCCAGACACTTACCTTCTTACAGGGGACACAGTATGGAGCTGCTAGTGCTCAGAGTCTTTGTGAGCTTGAAATAGCCCAAACTGATACACTGAACACCCCATCACTTAGTCATACAATTATGATTATCACAATACGCATACAATCGGTACATTGCAAAGGAACAAGCAATAGGTTTATTCCATGCTGAAAAGAGAAGAAAGCAAACAACATTTCGGCTCTGGAGCCTCCCTTGGGCGTGGGTATATTAGCGCAGCACACACAAACCACACTTGCCGAGAGTCCAACACAAAATATTCCTGGTAGCAGCTAGTAATGCTTTAACAGGCCACAGAGAAACTGCAATCACACACAAAAGCTCCTGCTCAAGGAGGCCCAGAAGAAAACTGATCTGGTAGAAAACACTGAAAAGTTCTTGCCATGTTCAAACGTACAGCTGCCAAAGCCCACCCTCACAAATGTTTTTGCTTTGCTTAGAACCTTTTTCTCATTGCACTAATTCCAAATACACACGTTGTCTTGAGTGTTTCACTCAAAAATATGAGCATGTACAGAGTTAGATATAAACTGTGTTTTATTTTTTAAATACATTTAAGTCTACTTTCAGCATTCTCATCCCCCACGACTGGACGTTCATTGCTTAATAGCTCTGCACCTCAGTCTCTTTCTAAAACGGTTATGTCTGCATTGTCCTTTAGCGCACAGCTCCAGAAATCTGCCTATTCTAAATATTGAGAAGTCAACCGTGACTGTAGACCACTATAACCTGTTGAAAACTTACATCATACTCTCATTAGACACTAGTATCCAAATACCTATAGGCCGACAAACAGTTACTTTCGTTAAACCTGTACAAGACGGTGAGGAACACACACAGGAATGGATCTTTCTGAAGTCAACAGCTAAGGGCGGACAGTGGGCTCGCTTCAGCTGTACCTGACAAGAAAACTACTCCATTATGCAACGCCGACCCGGGAGCACGTAAACTTTAAATGGACTTACATCACGACTTCAGGCAGAGCCGTAGCCCCGAGTTATCGAAGATTACATCACCCTCGTTCACCTACGTTTTCCTAGAAAGACGATACTTTTCGTTTTCTACATCATTGGTAGAAATTCAGTTGTTTTAGTCTCTTGGGAGCACAGTTTCAGAAAATGGGTGGCGCTATGGTAGCGGGAGCGTAAAATGAGCAGCGTTACTTATGTGGGAGAAATTATTTTGCTTAATAAACTGTGTATAATATTTATTGGTTTGCTTAAGACAGCACAACCGGTCAGTCATAACAAAATAAAGAAACTCCATACGACTGCAACAATTATTACGAATAAAACGTTTTTAAAAAAACTTACCCTTTTTTAGTATTTTTTGCAGTCTCTCGCGATAAAACTTCGTTTAGCAACACATGTGATTTAATTTCGACTAATCGACAAAGAAATTAATCTGAAAACGACCATTTTGCCGTTGTTATTCAATAACAGCGTTAACGAACTCCCAACACTACAACGAGCTCGGCCGTGCGCTCAACTTCCTGCCTCCAGGAGACACACCCAGTCCGTAAGGACCTCGCCGATAGCTGCTCACCCAACTGGCTGCGTCGCTTGGTCTTTTGAATCATTAACTTAAATTATGATTTTTCAAGAGTTTAATCAAATTAATTTGCTATATATGATTTTTTCCACAATATGGGTAAACACATGTGCTTTTCTAAAAACCAAGTTATTGGGCGCACGGGATTGTGGGATTTGTATTTTTTTAAATTCAAACTGCACCGCAAGGAATTGTTTTCTCAATGGTTTCTTACAGTTTCAGATATACATGAGTGAAGAGTTGGACCAAAAAAATGTTTAATTTATGCCATAAAATGTCTCCTCTTTTTTTAAAAAAAGTATCTATCTTCAAAAATGAGATCTCTCTCTTCTTAGTAAGACGTTGCCAGCTGGTTTAGGAGTTTAGATGAACACTAATAATGCATTTTTTACGCCTAGCTTCGAAACATTTTAACGCACAAGAATATAACTGGCTTAATTATTCGCTACGCTCACGTTGTAACATAATTATCAATATGCAGAAAAAATACAATTGTTAGATGCATTACAAATTAAAAAGCTACATTGAATATTTGGAAAAGAACAAGTAAAGGTTTATTCCATGCTAAAAAGAGAAGAGAGAAAACAACGTTTCGGGTGTGAAGCCTTCTTCAGGTGTGTGAAATTTTTCACTTGTTCCTTTGCAGACTACGCATGCTGACGCAGTTACCCACCTGAACTATTGAATATTTTGTGTTTGCATAATTATTTCAGTTATTTTACACTTATACAAACTGGAGTATTTTAAATAATCGCCGTTTATTAGTGCAACGGATTAATTTGAAAAGGCTCTTTACATTAAGCCATCAAATCGGTGGAATTGTTGCTCGACAAAAAGGGGGTTGACCATACAATTTATTCACATAAGACATCGATTTTAATACGGTTTCTTTTTATTTAAAGGAAACACAAAGCCCATCCTATCAGAACATAAGAGTTCTATGGGAAGGAGATTTGAAAGTGAAGTGGAAAAAACACGCAAAATGAAACCTTTAAATGAAAACTCCTAAAATGAGCTGGCGATTACCCAAAAATTCTCGTTTTTTTGAGGATTTATAAAAATTAGTCGGAAAAAAAACAGAGAAAGCACTGTGATAAATCAATTATTCCTGTTGAATAAAACATGGATTTCCGCTGAATCTACCAAAAATGTTTATCAGACACCTAACCTTATTTTCCTTATAAACTGCTCTCGGAGATGGATGAATCGGAGCAGTACAGCGCAAAGCTCAGCGTTTACCTTTGTTGCTGCCATGCCTTTCTTAACTCCACTTTTACGAAGCGCTATTAAATAAAATTATTTTAGACAAACTACAGATAAATGTGTTTTCGGATTCTGATCACTTGTTTACACATTCTTCCTTATCTGCCCATTTCCCCTTTTCCTACTTTGAAACTATCAGCAAAGCTATTTTGTGTCCATTTAAAGCAACACAAAACAAGAGAATCAGATTTTCGGCTTTATTGAAACCAAGCCAAAGGACTGTTTTTTTTCCTACCTGTTATTTATATTACAGGTCAGCTCTTACTGAACATAGAATGTAGTTGAATAGCTTTATCTATTAAAAACCACACACTTTAAGAGAGCAGATCGGTTAAAGAGCAAAAGCAGTTCGCCATTTTATAAAGGACTGTTATCTCAAGACTACACTTTTTAATGTGGGGAATTGGAATTGTTATAATTCCAAATTGTTTTAATATAGTTGAACATGATAAAGCGTTCCATTGGTCATTAACATGCTGGTTAGTTTTAATTGACTTCTCTAAATTGTCCCTTTCCAGACACGAGAAAATCAATGGGTGTGGAGTTGTTCCCAGTACGACCAGTACTGGTTATGTTACTTTAACCAATTCATAAGAGCAAGATGGACAGATTTGACTTTCTCATCTCTAGCCAGTCTAATGTTCCAGAAGTAAAACGCAGAAAGTAACAGTCTCGGACCCGAAACAATCTCGAAATATGAATGTTTTTTATCCCTCTCCCAGTAAGTAATGACTACAAAATATTTTATATATTTTTCAGTGACTTCGATGATAAAGAACAATAGGGAGAATCGTGAAGAACTGTCAGACTGCGGGAAACCTGGCCAGATAGGTGTTAGAAAAGACGGGACAACTAAACAATTACAGAGGAGCAAGAAATAGGTTTATTCCATGGTTAAAAGAGAGTAAAAGAAACAGAACGTTTCGGGTGTGGGGCCTTCTTCGGATGTCAATAATTACAGTGCATAATCATTATAATCATTAACACGGGGATCTGGCTCTTCGTTACGAAAGCAAGATGTATTTGTCTAGCTTTTAATTTTCCTCAGCCAACTCCATTAACGTTTGTTAAAGGAAAATGTCAAAATGAAATTTGATGGCAGTTACGACCTCCATAGCAGAGGTTTAATACACGGTCTTAGTGTGAAGAGTAACTTGGGAATCATTTTCTCAGGACAACTCCAAAAGACACCCCCTCCCCAGCGGTCTGCCACACCCAGCGTCGGATAGCGATGGTGTGCGCCTGGCTAGCAGCGCAAAGGGTTTGTCGCTAATGGTCCTCTTAACTTGCATTTGCGTGTAAGGTAATCAATTGTGTTGTAAATGTTTATCTTCAGCCAACAGGGCTTAAATTTTCAGTTTAAAACGAAAGACTGTTTTAGTACGTCAACATTATACGTATTTTAAACTCCATGGCCTAAGTGTTACGATTTTGTCGTCAACTAGCCCGCACTAGTATTGTGAATATTTCTAATAACACTAAAAACAATAAATGCGTCCTTTCAAAGCTACCTACTTTGGGTTTATTTGTATAATGTAATTTTAATCAACAAACTGTAACGGGAGCTAGGTAACAGGATTAGAGTTTAATCAGCAATAGAATGTTATCAAGACATGTGCTTTATTTGTTATTGCCTCAGACGATAGTGATTAGCTAATTGTGAGATTAGTGGCCGTCTGATTAATTATATAAAAACAACTAAACGTAAACGTTTTTTTTTTTTTGCTGCGTAAAAGTAGGCATTATGTGGCGTTTTTTTGTCCCATCAATTCTGATTGTTCGTTTAAGATATTGGGCTATTAAAGACACCTAATCAACATTGCTGTCTAAATCTTGGGTTGTACATGCGAATCCCCAATGTACTCCGTGCTCGATCAAAAGATGCGCACATACCTGCAGGCGGGAACCAAATCCTCCCCTTCATTGCACCCTATTGTATTGTGCATTGGGGTGTGAACGAGATTTAGCGTCCCCGACAGCTCTCAGGCGAAACAAGATCAAGAGTATCAGCGGGGCTGTATTGTTTTAATTTTTCATAGGACGGAACTAGCTACCTGTAACAACAATGTGTGTCAACGTTACACATTCGTCACGAAAGACAATTAGGAAAAAATAATTGCTTTTAATTTGCATGGCGGAGTTATATTTTCTCATTCATTACCTTTAAAATAAAATGTACAAAATGTACCTAGATTCAAATTGGATTAGATCAGATTAGATTATTTAAACAGGTTATAAAGGTATATCATATATAGGATGTAAAATATATATGAACAAGTAATAGGTTTATTCCACGCTGAAAAGAGAAGAAAGAAAACAAGATTTCGGCCGTGGAGGCTTCTTCAGGTGTGAAAAGCCTTCTTCATACACACAAATATATATATATAACATATGTGATGTATAGGCCTTTATATAATTTAATTTTACATATAATTATAGGTCGTGTTCGCGACTTATTGTGTCTATCTGTGGTATAACAAAAATACCAGAACCTTGAAATAAATGACTTTGTCATTCTCTTTATCTTGAGAACTGGGGCTTGCGGCATCTTTTGGAACAAGAGAATCTTTGAAGAAATTCAGTCACCAAGGTTAAACATTTTTATCTTTTCATCTTCATTTAGATTTTACAACACGGCGTAGAATATCAGAAACCTCTAGCTCTAGTGGAAATCACAAAACTGCATGACCAAGTAACAGAATAAAAGAAAACAAATTACACGAGAACACAAAACCAGACGACACTCACAATTTCCATCATCTAAATTGGCTTGTTTGTCCCCAGAAGGGTGTCACCCAAATTTCCGTAGAGCGGTCGGGAGCTAACGACAGCCAAGCTGCGAGCCGCTGAACATAGTATAGTCAAGATAGCTCAGACGCTGACCACACCGAGTGCGCGTCGGACACTGCATTAGAGGAGTAAGTATACCTTTAAACCTCTATGTTTACAATAAACCAAGCTAAGTAAAAGCTATAAAGTGCAAAGCTGTTCTCTCTTTTTAAACTTCGGGCGTCATCATTACGTTTTATTTAGCTATTAAAATCCGAAGTACGTGCTGCGACAAGTGAAATGTAATTTTCAAATCTCGTCACCTGTCGTTCAATGTATTGCCTCCAGGATATTTTACACTGTGGTGTTTTTGGTAAAGTTACAAAGTGGAACGACACTATCAAGGCGCTAGGGTATTAATTTAATTTTACAATGAGGTGGTAGGTGTTCCCCATATGCTATTTAGCGTTTGAGATGTATAGTGGACAACAGTGATCTTCATCTGTAAAATGCGTATGTGTAAAATGTGTATATATACTAGGACAGGATTTTGACGATTTATAAAGTACTCTATCCAAGATCTTGGCGCATTACTCGTTCACTTTCTTATATTTATGTATTTTTGATGTGACAATTTACTGAATACTTTAAAAAACAATCTAATAAAGGAGGCGTTCAATTTGCATTAGCAATAAAATGCATGTATAAGCACTTGCTAGTTTCGTGTTGACTGAAAGGGCTCTGTGGAAGAGCGACTGCAAACACTAACGAGCTACATCCTTTCATGATGTAAACCGAGTTTCTTAGAGATGAACAAGGCAAGATAAAAGCTGATCTCGGTAAACAATAATTAGCTTAATTTCTAAACCGTCTACAGCATTTCCCCTGGAAACCCAGTAGGATATGACCAACATTTAGGCTTCACCGTTAAGATATCCACAGCACGGAAAGACTGCCGGAGAGAGACAGGGCTGTGCAGGGAAGTTCGTGTGTTACTGATGGATTTGCGTAGCAAACCAACAGGACTGGAGTACAATTAGCTGTCCGCCAGGGCAGTAGGTCTCAGAGGGACGTGTGTATTTCGTTAGATAAAGTACTGCTCTCTTTAGGTGGGGGTGACATGGAAAAAACAACATCAGAATCTATTTAAAGGAAACCCCTTAAGGCACGCAAGTTTACAGAATATTCTACTTTGGAAAAACAGAAGAGCTCGCGTTTTGTTCTTTCTCTCGTCTTTTTTCCCTGTCATTTCCATCTTACTTGACACTCTAGGTTCGTACCGTCCCACAGCTTTCTCAAACAGACCCAGTGTAACAAGCATTACAGTCTTTTGCACATGCCACATTCGCTTTTATTTTTGTAACGTTTCAAATTCAGCAACTAAATAGTAATTGTGCACTTAAATGTGTAGAAATATACCACGTTTAAGTTAGTACTCTGCAGAGGTTGTGTTCAACTTTTCACTTAGAGATTCAGTGAAACATGCAATTTGACCAGGGTTGCCCATATGTTTGCATACAATTGTATACAGATAAATACAATTATCTGTGCATTCAATAGAATGCCTTCCTTTGACTTGTTTTAAAAAAGAAATGGGGACTGTTTTCTGTGAGTTTCCGATTCATAATGCCGCTGCTATTGAAAATGGGGGATATCCCTCTAAAGAGGTGAACCTCCAAATGCAGGATTGGAGAGAGTCTGTGCACCACGCCTTTACATCCATCATGCAAATCTTTTTAGCAAGGGGGATCCAGCAATTAATGCTCTTTAGATATTCATGCTGTAGGTTTCTCAATAGCTAGTGTTAATTGAAACTGGGCAAGCCCAACCAGTCTCGAGCCTATCTTTAGATTCAGGGGGTGGGCATTATTGGTTTCCGGGCAAACCTGTTTTGCTTCCATTTAGGGATGGCATTCTTTTGAGACACTGGAGTTTGTACCACTTGGCTTTCTATGTCAGGTCAGTTTCACTTTGCATTGTCTTTTCTCAGCAGAGACGTGGCTGCAGGCCAGAGGCTGGCCAAGGGCTTCTTAAGGAGCGCAGCTCCCTCTTGCATGTGCAGCTTTGGGACATGACTAAGGATACCAGCTTCTAGACACAAATTCCAGAGAGCTAAATGATCAACAACCAAGGGTTAGAAATGTACATAGAATAACAAGGAAGGATGTAATCAACTTATACATTTTCTAACTGCTTGGTCCACCCTGGAACTCACAACTGGCAACCCATTGAAGCTCAGCAGGTGTGAGCCTGGCCAGTACCTGGATGGGAGACCTCCAGGGAAAAAGGTTGCTGCTGGAAGAGGTGTAAGTGGGGCCTGTAGGGGGCAGTCACCCCACAGTCTGTGTGGATCCTAATACTGCAGCAAAATGATGGTGATGCTGCACTGTAAAAAGGGTGCAGTTCTTTGGGTGAGATGTAAAACAGTAGTCCTGACTGTCTGTGGTCATTAAAAGTCCCAGGGCTTTTATTTGAAAAGAGTAGGGGTATTACCCAGGTGTCCTGGCCAAATTTTTCCCTGGCCTTTACCAATCATAGCCTCCTAATGATCTCCATCTATGAATCGGCTTCATTGCTTTGTTCTCTTTTTCTGATAGCTGGTGTGTGGAGAGTGTATTGGCGCACATTGGTGGTGGTGGAGGGCTGTCATCATTACCTGTAAAGCGCATTGAACGGAGTGTCCAGAAAAGCACTAACTGTAATGATGATGATTATTGTTGTTGATGATATCCAACAGGGGTCGTTGGGGAGCAAGAACCTATCCCAGTTAACATCAGGACACACCCTGGATGGGATGCCAGTCCATCACAGGATACAAACAGACACAAACACACACATTCACAACAGGGCCAATTTTCTGACCTAGGACCGGTCCCTGTATTGAAAGAAGCAGTTAGAATAGAGGGGTGTTTTTAAAATACTTTGCTCTGCTTGGTCTTTAAAGGGTTTCACGTAGAAGGGCTCTAGACGTAATGCACTCCCCCATTCCCTTTCAGCTCAGAAGGCTATCCCAGGCTGGCCCGTGAGGGTGGACAAACTGAACTCTGCGCCATGGAGCTGAAGGTCTGGGTGGATAATGTCCAGAGAGTGATCTGTGGAGTCACAGAGAAAACCACCTGCCAGGAGGTGGTGATTGCATTAGCGCAGGCCATGGGTGAGTCACAGTGAAAACACTTTCTCAGGGAGAAGGGAAATAGGGGTGATGGGGGGTGGGTACTTTGGGGGTAAATAATTCTAGATTGTTTATTAGCATCAGAATGCACATTTGTAGAAAGTTTAAATTGCTTGAGGACATTTAATAGAGGTGTTATATGCAGAGTGCCTATATGTCACACATGAAGTGCACCTTCCTCACAGGAGTATATATATTTTCATAGTTACCTTTTATTTTCTTCCAGTTTTCAGAATTAAAGAACTCAACCTTTGAGATTCAGACGTCCTGTGACTTATGCTGTTGATAAAATGTGGTAGTTTCAGATTTATTAATTAAATCACATGTACACAGACATAAATTGAGTATGATGAATATAAAATGACATTTTTTGTTGTCTAGAGAAGTCGATGGGAATCTACCTTAGACACAAGAGACAAATAATGAAGAGTAAATGTGACATTTTTTAATTGCTTTCAAATCACAAAAAAAGGAAGTGCATCTTGTCTCCTAACGCTCTTATCTGGGTCTCCCAGGTCGCCCAGGCCGCTACACTCTCAAGGAGAAATTCAAGGACTTTGAGCGCCATGTCTCCCCTGATGAGAGGCTCCTTGAATCCCTGAATAAATATGGCCAGCAGGCGAGAGAGGTGCAGCTCATCTTGAACCACAACGGGCCGTCCATGACGGGGCACAAGCCCTTTGCTCAGGTCCGAGGCAGCCGGCTGGCCGACCGGAGCCGACACCGGCAGAGCCTGCCCCCTGTTGCCCGGCTGTGCATCAGGGCAGACCTTCAGCCCGACGCCAAGAAGCCGAAACGCAAGTCACTGACCTTTGTGGAAGAGGCCAGAGAGTGGATCGAGTCCCTGGGCCGAATCAGATTGCACAAGAACAGGGATAAAAACAGGGAAGCTGGAAAACGGGATTCTGTCCTGAGCCAGCAGGAAGAAACGGGCCACATGATCCACCTCCTAAAACCAACAAATGGGACAATTAGAGATGCAACTGCAGGTGATCTGAACTCGGGACCAGAAACAGAAGTGGGGCTTCACAAACTGTTGATCCAGCAGCAAACTGAGCTGCTGGCCCTCCAGACCCAGCTTGGCAATACTGAGGCTGAGATCCACACCTTGGAGGAGGAGGAGGATCAGATGAGACAGGAGGTAGAGAAGCTCGAACATCTGATTGCCTCGAGACAGGATGACGTGGAGGAGCTGGAGTTCTGGGAGAATGAGCTGAGGGCGGAGGAAGTCTACGAGAGGGATCTGCAGGAACAGTTCCTGGAGATGAAACAGAAAGCTGCGGAGTGCAAAGGCAAGGTGGAAGAATATAAAAGCCGGCTTCGGGGGCTGGACTTGGTTGGGGCATCCCAGACCCATTCCGATACCCAGCTGTTTGAGCAGCTGGCCCTGACCGGGACAGAAGCTGCTCGACTGGACGCCACTCTCGCAGAATCCCAGGAATCCCTGCGGAGAGTTGACAAGGAGCTGCAGGTCAGTGCACCCAGAAGAAGGCAGGTCCTTCCCAGTGACCCAGCAGGCTTGCACTTTCCTTATTGCTTTAGTGAGATGAGCTACAGCACAGGGCAGCACCGGCAGCAGCTAGTTTGGGGCTACAAAGACCAGTCTTCAGGCTCCAGCAGGCCAAGCCACAACACAGCCCAGGGGCCGGAAAGCACTAGGGTTTAAAGGAGAAGTGAACACCCTAATGGTGTCCCCAAAAAGTGACCTGCTATCCCCCCCTTTGTTTTACAGAAGAAACATGAGGAGCTGGAAACTTTGACCTCAGAACTCTGTCCAACTTACCCGAAGAGCTTCAACCGACGTTTGGCGACTCGCTGGTCCTCTTCTTCATGGCATGACAGTACAGGTACCCAGATCTACCAGGTATACCAGGTGTAGGCTTCAGCTGGGATTTTGCACAATTACTCCGGACGACGCATATAACTGGGTGTTTCTGTTCTGTCACCCATAACCGTGAAAGGAGCAACACTGGTAGAATATTGGACACCGGAATGGTCCAAGATCTGACTCTGCTTAAGTCCTGAATTGATCTGTTCCTTTTTCAGATCGAGTTTCAAAATCACCGGATGGATCCAAAAACTATCCATCTCTTTCGAGAGAAGGCCTCTTCATCTAACTCGGCAGGGGAGATGTATTTTTGCCCTAGAGGGCAATTCCTGCACCAGGGATGATCAGATATGTCATAGTGAGTGACTTAAACATTAAGATATGGGTTGGCAGTGAACTGTAGTGGACTAAATCACTATCTTATCTTTATCTTTTAAACCAATTTTAATTGCTTTTTATCATTTTTTTGCCATTTTTACAAAACCTATTATCTCAGGTCCAGAGTCTATAGTGGGATTATTGGAATTCCTTGCACTTTCCAGTGTTCTTTGGAGTGTAAACTTCACTGGTGAAGGGTAACCCTCATTGCCTGCATTGTGGCATGGCTTTTCATCCCATCCCTGATCTTAACTGTTTAGCTTAAATAATTATTTGGAGATCACAGCTGTCTCCAAATTGAAAAACACGTGGGAAAACCTGCTGGAGCTCCTATTCATGTTTGGTTTCTCTGCTATAGTGAAGGAGTGTGCTTGCTTGCAACTGAAATATTGGTTCTCACTCATTGGTCCTGGAAAACAACAGAATTTTCAATAATTACTGGTGAATTACACCAGTAATTCAATTAATGGTGTGCATTTCGTTTCTAGGTCTGGTCTGGAGTGTCAGTTTTCTATAAGGCTATCACTTATAATTCCAGCACCATAAGAAGGGAATGGTGCTCCAACAAAACACGTTTGCTTCCCAGGAAACTGGATGATATTCATCTTCACTTATAATCACTCTGACAAAGTGCTATATATATATATAAGTTTAGAACATTTTGTACTTGATGTAAACTAAAAAGATGACAGTGGTGTAATGGTTAACACTGCTGCCTTGCAGTGTTAGGGCCCTGGGTTCAATTACAGACCTGGGGTGCTATCTATGTAGAGTTTGCATGTTCTCCCTGTGTTCACATGGGTTTCCTACCAGTCCATAGATTTAGGTTAACTGTGTCTGCGAAGGACTGGAGTCCTGTTCAGGGAGTATCCTGCCTTGCACCTGTTGCTTGCTGGGACAAGGTCTGGCTTGTGACCATAAATTGGAAGTAGTGGTTATCAAATGGATGGATGTAAACTAAGAACAGATCTTATTTTGTTATTCAAAAATATCATGTAACTAATGGGTTTTTTTTTTGTCAGAATCTCAGAGGTTTTTAAGTTACACAAACGTAAAATGCCTGTTGTGAAAGTGACAATTATTTTGGCTGCAGTAATGTAATACAGAAATGTCTCTCTAGTACACATTAAAGGTTTACATATTTAGTAGTGAAATTGAGTGCACTCTTAATTTTGTACATATCAGACATTGCACAGGGGGGAAGAGTAATTTTCAATTCTGTAACATGGGGCTTTTTAGTCTTAAAAGATGCACATTTCATAAACTTGCCTATTGTTTTGATTTCTCTGTCACTTATTTTCCAAAATTTAAAGTAAATTCACTTCAGTGTTTTTCCTTACACATTTATAAGCATCTGACAACGGTCTATCTAGTGCCACCCAATTAATTACAATATCACACTGGTATTGTAATTTATAAATTAAAAAAGTAAAGCAATAATAAAATGCAAGCCGATCACTTTCAGGAGTGAACATTACCTTTGCTTTTGAACAGCTTTGGCACCAAAAAGTTCAGTCAAGGACATAACCCAGAAAACCGCAGCCCTCTGGCCCCAGGCTGTGCCCGTTAACTTTAATTCACTGCTTCAGTGTGGTTTTGCCACTGCCAAGCAGTGGAAAGTCCTACTAAAAAGTGTTTGGCTAATTTATTCAAAATGACAACCTTATTAACTTTACTCTTGTCTTTTGAGTAGGGAGATGCACCAGCATTCATAGGCTGCAAAGGAACAGGTAAAGGTTGTTCTTTCAGCATGGAATAAAGAAAATATTGACTGTCGAGCCTTCTTCAGGTGTGGCATACCTGCAAGTTCAAGTCCACAACAATGCTTAGTACTACACTTAAGTTTGGCCAGAGGACAGGACATTTAAATCACTATACTTGTACAGAACCCAGAAACCCATTTAGCCTCTAGCAATGTTTCATGATGACAATTGCACTATAAACTGGATATGCAGCTACCTTTCAGAATAAAATATCAAAGAGCTTGTTTGCTCCAAGATCTACTCTCATCCTCCCACATCTCAAACTACCCTGCACTATAAGAATGTGGCAGACGGTTCAACCATTTTCAAAGCTTACATAGTGAAATGGAGCTTAAATTGTTTTCACTGGAGTGTTCAATTTTTAGTTCAACTTAAGGGGTATAACTACATTAACTAGTATGAGCTTGAACCTTAAAGTATTCTGTTTCATTAGAAAGAATATGAAAAGTCAGTTTGCTTTCTGACAAATTTGAAAAAGCCCAGAGAGGCTGCATTAA